ATATCATATTTTAGTTTATTTATTTTTTATGCGTAAGTTCTTTATTAACGATTAGTTGGAGTACCCGTCCCCTGAAGGGAAGTTATGTAAATTCATGATTAATGAAAGGTTATCTTAGGACATGAGAAGTTGCTTCCCTTATGTGTAATTGTAAAAAAAAACACAAAAATGTCACAAGAATCGCAAAACTGAAAATTTGTATGTGCTCCTGCATGAACCTCCATAATAGTTTTGGTGAAGATCCATCCACACCCTGAAAAGTAATTACACGGACAGACAACAGACAGTACTGTTATATTTATATATCATTCGATTGGAGTTAACAGAAAAGTATTTTACCCACTGTTATGTGATGATCAAATTTTGAAAGTGTCTTCTTGTCAAAGTGCTATTGTTGTTTTTTTGGTTTGAAAACTCTTGTTTGGAAAAGTGTGAATGTTTGGAAAAAAGTTTACTTTAACGATACCAAATATTGTAAACATAAAATATTTGGTTTTGTTTCTTTGGAATTTCACACAAAGTTGCACGAGGGCTATCTCCGTTAGCCGTCCCTAGTTTTGAAGTGATAGACTAAAGAGAAGGCAGCTAGTCAACACCACCCACTGCGAACTCTTGAGCTACTCTTTTTACCAATGAATAATGAGACTTACAGTCACATTATAATACCCCCACGGCTAAAAGAGCGAGCATGTTCGGGGAAGAGATTCGAACCCGCGACCCTCAGATTGCGAGTCGACTATCCTAACTACCAGGCCATAGAGATTGATTACGTTTACGAAGATCAAAGTTGAATACTTTTTTTTTCAGACGAAAGACGTATGGATATTGAATGCTGTAAGTACCCACCCCAACAACGCCATCCTAATTGCATGCCCATCGCCATACCCCATGATGACCCCTTCTACAAATTCTTCAACAAGAAATGCATGGACTTTGCTCGAACTCTTCCTGGGATGAGACCCGGATGTACTCTAGGTAAGCCACGTATAATTCATTTCTGTAGTGTATATTGGTATATAGAAGACATATTAATACTGGAAATAAACGACCTTATAACACCAAAATGTTGTTGTTATTTAATTAGACACTCAACGTTTCGCTTTGCTCAGGAACGTTCACTAAATATGTCAAAAGCACGATGTACAAATGCACATTATAACATAACATATTGGTCCATCTCGGCTGTTCCATCCTCTAAACTAAATTAAAATAAAATCTTAAAGCCAGCCCTTATCATTCATATGCTTATCAAGCTTTTACTTAAACTCACTTAAATTTACTGCCTCTACAACATCTGAAAGCAACCCATTCCACAGGCCAACCACCCTGTTAGAAAAATAAAACTGTCTTAGCCGAAGATGACTCTTTCCTTGCCAAAATATATATTTGTGTCCTCTAGTCCTACTATTATCACTGTTAAATATGTTATAGATTCGAATACAATTGATCATTCAAACCATTTGAAGCTTTGTATTGTCGGTTTCGGTTTGTGTTTTAGTAAACGCTCCTGAAATAGCTGTAAAGCGAAACATTGAGTGTTTAATTAAATAAAAAACAACATTTTGGTGTTATAAGGTCGTCTATTTCTAGTATTAATAAGCCACATATAACAATTGGCGAGGAAAAAATAAATACATAATAACAGAAATAAAAATCCGAGTTTTACAAACGTAGAAATTTAGAATCAAGGTAGCAATTTGTTAATGTAAGACTTCCAATAACACCAAAGCAGGGATTGAAGCTGAATACTCAGAAAATTCAACGTTCTCTGGTGAGCTTTTTTTCTTGTATGAACATAGTACATCTTTTCCTTTAGAAATCTGATTATATATGAAATTGTATCTAATAACGTTTATAACCTTCATAGTTCTAGATAGATAGTCTATTTGGTGATATAGGTAGGGTAACTTTAATAAGTTTAATTCAATGAATGTGCCAGTGTTTGACGAATTTACCACAATCCATAGTTTACAATATAACAACAATAACAGCAACTAATGTAGTGTTTATGCAGTTTACCGTGTAACAAGAATAACAGTAACTAATGTAGTGTTTATGTAGTTTACCGTGTAACAACGATGACAGTAACTAATATAGTGTTTATGTAGTGTAACAACAGTAACTAATGTAGTGCTTATATAGTGTAATAACAGTAACTAATGTAGTACTTATGTAGTGTAACAACGGTAACTAATGTAGTGCTTATATAGTGTAACAACGGTAACTAATGTAGTGCTTATATAGT